TGACCCTGGGATCACGACCTGAGCCAAAATCAAGAGTCAGAGGCTCAACCCACTGAGCCAGCCAGGTGCCCCATATGCAAGTGATTTTTAAACTATAAAACTATTGAAGTGCCAATAGTTGTTTTTACTAAGACTGTTATGATTCAGTGAAGAAACAGAAACCCAGGGAAGTGAGCCAGTGAAACCAAGGCCTTAGTGGTAGAGTCAGAATTTGAACCAGAGTTGCTGACCCAAGCATTCACATACTTGCTAGTAAATGCACCCATGCACAAACACATATATGTGCACTTAAGGTATGCATTCACAGGCCACCTTTCTTATTATCACCATGCAGTTCGTGGCCATTACTTACCAATTCTGGGTCCAGAGAATAAGACAGGCCTGGCCTTGAGCCCTCCCAGGTCCTGGTCTCAATAACCTGCAGTGAGGGTACCTGTCTGAGACCCAGGCTCTCCCTCTCCCACTGGGCTGTGCACTGCTCCAGCTCACCTCCCCTGGAATATCCCTCAATGGACTCTGACACCCACCAATGAGCCAGCGTTACCTTCCCTAGAGTCCGAGGCCTACTTGGCCTCTCCTGTTATCTCCTGGTATGTCCTTGTCACCTCCTCAGCTTTCAGGGTAAGGTGGGTGAGGATGTGATGAAGGCTGGAAAAGTGCAGGTGGAACTGGGCTTCCAGGTCCAGCTGCCCCAAGATCCTCTCCTCCTCATCCTTCTCTGTCTTTGCAGCTTCATTCTCAGCCTCGCTGGCCCTGTCATCTGCCACCTTGGACCTCCACTCCTCTCGGGGCAGCAGCCCGTGGTCCACATCCACGCGGATGGCCTTGAGCATGGTGAAGTAGTTGTAGAGATCAGGGGCCCCATCCTGGGCCCGGTGCCCGTGCACATTAAACTGCATGTCCCGCAGGAGGCTGGGGATCATCACCACCTGCTCCATGTTACGCACCACGGCCGAGTACCGGTCCATGACAGTCAGCAGGCAGTTCTTGGGGTAGTGCTTGGTTTGCACCCGCATGATGGCTGCTGTTTCCATGCCGAGTCCAGCAGACTGCCCCAGAACTACGTCAAGACCATTTTTATGTCCAGAGGTGACAGCAGTTTGACAGGATGCCAAAGCCCGCCAGTGGGTCAACACAAACCTGTTTTAGGCCAATCCCAGGGCTTGGGCACCAATGTCTATATCAGGCGATCCATCTGCCCAGAGACAGACCTGCCAGCCCTCTGTCTGTCATTTCAGCACTCTGTGACCGCCTCAGCAAGCACCCGCCTCCTCCTTCACCAGCGCAACTGGCTTGTTAGAGGGAAGCTTTTCTCTTTGGCAACCAGTGTGCTTGACCCCAGGTCAGTCATGAGTTCTTTCGGGTTATCTGAGACCAAGCTGCCTCTTCACTGACTGCCTCCTTTTTTTTTTTTTTTAATTTTTCTTAACGTTTATTTATTTTTGAGAGACAGAGAAAGACAGAGAGTGGGCAGGGGAGGGGCAGAGAGAAAAGGAGACACAGAATCTGAAGCAGGCTCCAGGCTCTGTGCTGTCAGCACAGAGCCCAACATGAGGCTCAAACCCATGAACCGAGAGATCATGACCTGAGCTGAAGCTGGACACTTAACCGACTGAGCCACCCAGGCGCCCCTTCACTGCCTGCCTCTTAATGTAGAAGTTCACTTCTTTAGCCTGGGGTGCCTCAGCTGCTAAATGAACTAGGGAGGAGGGTCATGAAATGAAACAGCTCGTTATGGGACAAAGAGCACTGACATAGGAGCCAGAAGCCCAATTCTGCAACTTCCCAGCTGCGTTTTCTGGTTGTTTGCTGGCTAACACTTATTGAAAACCTACTTCACATCAAGTTCTGCACTAAGTTAAAGTAACTTGCCCATGGCCCCATTGGAGCTGGGATGGCAGCCCAGGACCACTTCACTCCCACCTCCAGTCAGAGCTCTAGACCCATGTGTGAGGTTGCATAAGTTGTACATGTCAAATGGATCCGTATCCTGATCTGTAAATTTCAGGTGTTGTGATGATTAAATAAGATAAAGCCATTGAAAATGCTCTGTAAACCACAAAGCACAGTTCCCAGGTGCATTATCTGTGCAGATACTAGATGAATGCAGGTCGCTGTCAACTGTAACCTACAATTCCAGCAGTTACGATGCTTCCTCTTCACCACCGACCTAGTCCTTTGACCAGCAGTCTTAGAAGACAATAATCTTTTGCAAAACCACGTTATCACAGTTGACACACTGCATTTGCTCTATTATTTATGAGATAATTAGGAAAACTGGGGCCCAGAGAGTGGCTCAAAGTTGTGCAACAAGTAAGTGTCAGAGTCAAGTGGAGAACAAGTCCTTCCAAGTTCTGGTTCAGGCACCTGCTCACAACACCACCTTGGGTGGAAAGATCTGCTAGGTGCTTCTGCCCCAGCAATGGGGAGAGAGGAGGAGAGCATAGGGAGGGGATCTTGTCTCACCTAAGCCACTCTCACCCCTACCTCAGGGCGGGAGTCCCCTCTGCATCACTTGACTCACTCTCTTGACTCCACTCGCCCATTCCCTACCACTCCTATGGCCAGAGATACAAGAAAGTTCATCTTTATTTCTAAATGAATTCTACCTGCCTTTAGCCCCTCCCATTAAATTAAATTGTAATATTCACCCCATCCCACCCCAAAGTTGCCTGCCTTAACTATGCTTCTGTTAGCACAACAGGGTTGTGTGAAACACCATTTCCCAGTCTTTAACTTGCTCAATCCCCACAGCAGCCCTACGGGGCAGAAAAACATTGGCAGCCCTCTTTTCAGACAAGGAAACAGCTGAAAGGAGGAGGTACTTGTCCAAGGGCTCAAACCTGACAAGATGAGGCTTGGCCCAGCTCTCCAGCCCTCAGAGGAAAACCAAGGTCGGCCCTCTCTCCAAGTGCCCTTTCTGGGCTGGCCATGCACATAGCCACAGGTAACCTGGAGTCATCCTGCGTTAGACAGGTGGCCTTGCTTCTCCAGGGCAGAGAGGACAGCCAAGTCCAGGCCACAGGCTTTCTGTGAAGGGCAAAGCTTCCACTTTAACCTTTCCTGTATCACAGATTGTGGAGTGGAACAGAGAACATAAGCCAGCTCTTCCTCCCCATGGCTATGTGGCACCGGACTAGTCACCGCTCCTCTCTCAGCCTCAGCTTCCTCCTATGGTGTAATCATGATGACATTGATTGAGGGCTTGCTTTTCTAAGCAAAGTGCTTAGAACAGAACTCAATCCTCCCAGCAATGACATGTGGCAGGAGTTGAGGAAATTGAGGTCTATGGGGGTAAAGTAACCAGCCTACGAATACACATTATTAGTCCTTAAGCAAGGAGGAGTTGAGATGAGTAATAACTCCCACCATGGAGATTACAGATGATATTTATGAAATATCTGGTATATCGCGACCTTAATAAATTTGCACTGCCTCCTGGCATTTCTGTTTTCCTCCTTTCTGTCCTCCCAATCCCTCTTTTATGCCCTCATTCTAGGACTTGCTACATACATTTCCATTCACTGTGCACCTGTCCCAGGGCCCAGTGCTGCAAATGTTCGGTAGATACTAGCTGATTAATGACCATTAGATTCACTTCTTACAGGGCGCCTGGATGGCTCAGTCAGTTAAGCGTCTGACTTTTGCTCAGGTCATGATCTCACAGTTTGTGAGTTTGAGCCCCCACGTCAGGCTCTGTGCTGACAGCTCAGAGCCTGGAGCCTGCTTCAGATTCTGTGTCTCCCTCTCTCTCTCTCTCTCTCTACGCCTCCCCCTGCTTGTGTGTGTGTGTACGTGTGTGTGCGCACACGCTCTTTCTCTCTCTCAAAGATAAATAAATAAACGTAAAATTAATTAAATAAATAAATAAATAAAAGATTCACTTCTTGATACATTCTAGTGCCTTTGGTCATAATGTCCAGTCGCCTTGAAAAACAGCGTCCCTGGCTTGGCAGGAGGCAGTCGTGAGGACTCTGGCCGGTGAGGGAGCCTGAGCATCTGCAGCTACTGCTGGTGCTAACATTGAGACTCTTTTCCAGAACTGCTCCTCAGGGAAGGAGGGACGTGACATACTCCTGTTCTGACAGTCTTCATTGTCCAGGTTGCCCTCCCCATACTTTACTGCAAACTAAACTCTTAGCAAGACACACGGGCCCAAAATTACCTCCACCAGTCAGAGGGGTAAAGAATTTGCATAAAACTGTTTCCTACACTATGAGTAGAAAAAAGCAAGTTTTCTAAATTAATAGAGTAAGTGAAAGAATTTAATTTTAACAGGGTACTTAAGTAAATATTTGATTAACTCATTTCCAGCCCTAAAAGTTTTTTTTTTTTTTTTTTTTTTTTTTTTTTTTTTTTTTTTTTTTTTTTTTTTTTTTACCTTCATTGGGGAAACCATTCTTTAAATGTTTTCTCCTCAGAAAAATGGGCTTCCTTTGTAATCGAACATCCAAGATGGCTGAGCAGCGGGTACAGCCAAAGACCACGAGCCTGGACACTGTAGTTCGGGTTTGGGGCTGCTGCCAGGCCCACTTGCAAGCAGGCACCCTGCACCCTGGGGTCCACGGTTGTAAAATGAAGGGATGGGAGCTCTCTGAAGGGAAGGCCCTTTCAGCCCTAATTGTGTAACTTCTTCTGAACCCATGTCCAGGTCCCTAAGGGCATTACCCTGCCTTAGTTCTTGTGTTTTGAACCTAGCCCTGGAAAACATGATGTGGACAGGGCTGGGGGAGCTGACCCTGGCATGGTGGGCAGGCCAGAAGTGCCCTGCAAGTGGCCTGGGGCCGACCAAGGCCTCCCTGGGCCTCCTCCCATCTATTCAACGAGGGGGCCGATCTTTGTTAGAGCCTCTCCAGCTCAGACTTTGAGGGAGTCCACCTGAGCACAGGGCCCCCGTGCCCTTCTGTGTCATTCTGCCTCTGCTGTTTGTGTCCCAATCCCATCTTGGGCCAGTCTGTTCCCAGATGTGTTCCTGGACCTGGCCCAGAGGGACCGAGTGAGTGCCACGTGTGTGAGTGAGCAAATGGGTGTTAGTGAAAAAGGGAGAAAGTGAACAAATTGGTAATTAGGAGAATAAAAGGGCCACGTGAGTAAGTGCAGACCATACGAGGAGCCCTGGGAAGGAGGACACGGCCGGTGTCCAGCCCGCAGGCTACAAACTGAGGCTGCCTCCAGGTCTGCCTGGCAGATGGAAGGCCCTGGATGAAATGTTGCTGAATTAGCGGCTGCCCAGTGTCTCCGATTAGAAGACAGAGAGACGGGATCTGAGGGGATAGGCTGAACTCAGACAAGTTCTAGGAGTGAGGAGGGGAAAGGAGGAAGACAGGAAAGAAGGGACGTGGGCTCTTTTCAAGGGATTTAGTAGGGCAGGAGAGGTGGTTCTGATTCAGCCAGGTCCACTGGACTCAGGTGTCCTTGCTCTCAAGATGCCACATCCCAGGGCTGGGAGATTATCTGGTCCAGCTGGGCCACTGCAGGTAAGGAGGTCCTGGCCATGGAGAGGACAAAGGTAGCAGAAGCTGGACTAGATCTCAAGTGTCACTGAGTTTCCCCAGTCTTCCTTTCTCCCCCCCACCCCCACTCTCAGGTGGGGAAACTGAGGCTGAGTGAGCCACTTCACTGGCTTGGCCTCTGCAAAGCTGACAGTGGCCTCATCCTCAAGGTATCTGAATGCCCCAAGTTGGATACACTGATATGGCCCCAGATGGTCGGGTCAAGGCCCCCAAGGGCCAGGCCAGGAACACCATGTGAATGTGGTACAAGGGGTAAGATGATGAGGTTGTGCTCTGGGACTGCCAGTGTCCAAGTAACCCTGGCTGCACTTCAGCCCATGCAGCTACAGAATGGACTCAGACTATGGTTGCGACAACTTTTCTTAGGTTGATGGTTTTTTAAAGTTTATTTATTTATTGAGTAATTTCTGCCCCCAACGTGTGGCTTGAACTCATGACCCCAAGACCAAGAGTCGCATGCTCCTCCGACTGAGCCAGTCAGGCACCCCCAAGTTTTCTAGTTTTAAAAATGACTCTTTTTT